ATGTGGAGAATAAGTATTTGGGAAAAAGACAAGAATTCTTTCACTGATGACCTGGGAAATACAGGTTGGTAAATTTGAAGTCAATAGATATTTTTGCCAGGGTGATTAAGCAAGTAATCAAGAATACTTGATGGAGCCGAGCAGGTCTGGCTCAGTGGACTAAGCATTGGCCCCATGGACTGAGAGGGTTCCATTCATGGTCAGGGCACATGCCGGGGTTGTGGGCTCGATCCCCAGTAGAGGGCGTGCAGGAGGCAGACGACTGATGTTTCTCACATGGATGTTTCTCTCTCTCTCTCTCTCTAAAAAAATCAATAAAAAATATTTTTTAAAAACGAATACTTGATGGGGAAGTACTCAGAAGAGCCGGCATGAGTCACTCTTGGAAAAACCATACTTCATTTCCCTTTCTGCAAGAGCTCTAGTTCGGGGCCAGCAAGCCTCAGCCTGCTGCCCATTTGTTACAAAGTTGTGCCGGGACTTGCGGGTCCATCACATGCTGTTTTGGTACCGCAAAGGCAGAGCTGAGAGTTGAGCGGTTACCTGGCCCCTTCACAGACAAGTGTGCCAGCCCCTTCTCTAGAGGATAGGAAAGTGTTGCAGGAGGGTTTTCCTGGTACCAAGCCTGGCCTCAAACCAGCACCTCCTCACTGACCGAGCCTCAGCACTCAGACTGACAGCGATTCCGTCCAGCTTGGTTCCATGGACTGGGCCAAGCACGGCACTGAGTCTGAAACAGAGACAAATAAGACCAGTCCCGGAGCTGACCACCGCAATGAATGGGCACGTCTCACCCCAGGCGACCAAGTGAGGAAGAGGATCCTGAGTGGGCTAATGAAGGGGAAAGGATGCTACACGCAAGAGGAGAGTCTTCAAGAAGACAGTATTGTCAGTGAGGTGCAGGGTGTTTGGATGGCCTCCATCTAGTCTTGTACATTAACATACATTAAAAAAGAAAAAAAAGCCCTGGCCAGTTTGGCTCAGCATTTAGAGCATCGGCCTGTGGTCCAGAGAGTCCCGGGTTTGGTTCCGGCTAAGGGCGCTGACCTTGGTTGCGGTTTGTCCCTGGCCCTGGTTGGCCATGTGGGTGGCAGCCACTCGATGTGTCCCTTTCAAGTCGATGTCGATGTTTCTCTCTCTCTCTCTCTCTCTTCTTCTCTCTCCCTCCCACTCTACCTGAACAAAAAATGAAAAATGTCCTCAGATGAAGATTTAAAAAATAAAAAAAAGAGGCTGGTATCACCAATGAACCTGAATCACTCAGGATTATTGGGAAAATACTGTCATATTTTAACTGGCAATGTTTTTCCATTTCAGTACATAAATGGTGTATCTTACAATTTGCGGCATCCTGTATTCTATTGAGTATAGTATATGTGTATGATGGTATAAATATCTTACAGCTAGGAAAATGAAAAAAAAAAAGAGGTAGATCCAGGTGTACTCGTGTGGAAGGATCTTCAAGACAAATTTTAAGTACAAAATAATAATACAAACAAAACTGTTCATAGTAAGGCTACCATTAATGTAAAAAGAAAAAACGAGAGCGAGCAAAAACAGATAGGGAGTCAGAAAAATCACTCCTCTGGGGAAACTGGACGTGACCCCGGCTGGCATTGTAAAGCCAGGGGAACGGCTGGGCCACTCAGACAGTGGCAGGGTCACTGGGAATCGATATGAGAGACACAAAATTAAGTCCCTGGCACGAAGTTCACTTCCAAATGCATTTCATTTCATTGGAAAAAGCTAAAACACAAAGGAAGTATGACCTTGAAGAAAAAATTTCTTTACAACATAAAAATCACAAAACAAAAAAAATTAATTATATTAAAAGTAAGCACTGAGAAGAGAGCAAAAAAAAAAAACCACAAAAAGCAAGCCACAGACTGGAAAACTATTTGCAGTACATTTATCTGACAAAGGATTTCCCACAGACTGGGAGCAGGGAAGAGGTTTTTGCTCAGCACTGTATCCCTGGACCTAGCACAGGGCTAATACATAAAGACGTTGCAGCATACAGGTTAAGAGCCTGGGAGTTCTTATTTCACCTCTTGGGGCCTCAGTTTCCTCATCTCTAAAATGGTGCCAGTAGCACCTGCTCCCAGGGTTGCTGTTGGTTGGTGCACAGAAAGCGCTGAGCACAGTGACACTAAGGACAGCTTCCTATGAGCAGTGATGGTGAGGCCGACAAACAAATGACTGTTTCATCAGAGAGAACCAGGAGTTTCCTAAAAGCAGCAGGGCTTTCTCGGGATGGAAAAATTAAGATGGGACATGGGCATCTTGCTTGGAAACAGTAACTCCTTCAGTAATTCTCTGGGTTGCATATTTGCAAACTGCTCACAGCAGCCTGACATGCAGAAACGGGGAAGTGGGATCCCAGCGAGGAGATGGGGCAGTGTGGGAGGGCCGGGTGGAAAACCATGCAGCAGGAGAAGGGATGGGCAACCCGGATAGAAAGGAAAATCGGTGCCGAGGAAAAAAGTTAAGAAACACGGTGAGATCTCCCGGACATAATCCTGTGTAGAAACTAAACTCATAGACATAGAAGGAGTCAGAGATACTTAAAAACACATACAAACCAAAAGAATATTCACTCGATACATGAGAATAATTTCCAAGGGGGAAGAGGAGTGGGAAAAAGACAAAAGGGAATAAAAACACAAAGGGAGGAACCTCATACGACCTGTGACAGTAAGTGCCATGAACTGAGGGGTATAATTAGTAACCAGGTGCGTCATAACTCCAAAAAGTAAAAATAAAGTAACAATCACGCCCTGTGATAAAGTGGACACGGACAAAAATAGCCTCAAGAGTGTATTGGTAGGTGTGGCCTGGTAACAAGCTGATTATCACAGGCTATAAGCAATGCAAATATGTTGGACCTCTAAAACCAGACTCCAGGTTTGAAGACATTAAAATGGGCTGTTAATATGAAACATATTAACAGAGTTATGCAAATAAGAATTTAATATTGTTTGTAAATAGTAGCATGAATATATACCTCAAATAAGGTTGCAGAAGAATACGTTAAAAGTGTGAGCAAAACCCAAGTTAATTATTACAAATTGCTGCTGTAACACCTACTTTTCAAATCTATTCAGCTTCTTTCATTTATGGAGGCTAATTGTGAAGAGAAAAGATAAGATGCATAAGCACAAATAAATAAAGGCAGTGAATAAAAAGAATTCTTTTCATGGAACTGTTATGATTATTGGTTAAATTATATGTAAAATAAAACAATTTTACAAGGTGATAAAAGGAAAAGGAAGACATGTCTGTAAAATGTATAAGCCCTTAAGCTCCCTGTGGAGTGAACCAGAAATCAAGGAGTGGACTACTTAGCAGCAAGGTTTTTAATGCGTGCTCTAATAAAAATTTCATCCTGAAAGATTTCCAGTGACGTTGTGAATGGGGAAACTGTTTGGATGAAGTGACTTAAAATGTTTCTGCATTATTCAGATTGTATTCTGTGCAGCTGGGGCTAGTATCAACCAAAGCAGACTGCTTCTCTAGTTGAGCTCAACTCCTGGAGTGTATTCAGGGGCATGCTAATGTGGGAGTAAACACATTACCCTAACATGAAGAATTAATCACCTTCCACATGAGCCAAAGGCACTTTGTCTTTGAGTGCAGCTGAAAAGTCACGTGTGCTGGTAACCTGCAGATCTTTGGAGACAGCCTGGGACCTAGTCAAAGGGGCCGAATGAGCTGACTCCAGACAGCCTGGAGGGTTGTCCCTACCATCAGAACCAACCCTTCAAATGACACTTCCTCCCAGCCCTGATATCATGTAGTACTGTCGCCCTTCACCACCTCACTAATGGAAAGTGATGAAATGGGGCTGATTGAAATAAGTGGAAGGCTTGGAGCAAGGATCAAAGGAATTTCAGAGGCTGTGGTTGTGCGTATTTTGCTGTTGACCTGTACACTGATCAGAATCACTGAGGAAATAAAAGTGTGTGTGTGTGTGTGTGTGTGTGTGTGTCTATATAGCTGTACCTGCCTGGTGTGACTAAATAGAGGGAAGTTGGATAAAACAGGTGCTGAAATCAGCAAACCCTGGCTTTTTTCGATGTAGGGTTATTAGCTATCCAGTATTGAACCTGACAGTCATGTAATTTTGGCTTCTTATCTGGTAAAGAAAAAATTTAGAAAATATTCTGTGTAGACGTTCTTTATTTAAATATTATGATTTTAGATTTTAATCTTAATTTGCAATCTAATCTTAATTTGCAAACAGTAGTTTGAAGCATTCAAGCTTTTCATTTCTCTTAAAGTTTTAAACTACCTATAAAGAAGTATTTCAGAAGATATTGATTAAAATGATACTAAATTTTTTTTTTTTAATATGAGAAATATTTTGGTAATGCAAATGATTTTGCTCTTTCATTTAAGTGTTTTATAAGAGGTTAATGTACAGGATGTTTAGTATTTCGTTTATAATGTCAACTTTAAAGAAAAATTGTTTTTCGAATGTCCACCCACTAAGAGTGTAGTACTTTTATTAGCAATCCCTACCCACTGGTTACTGGGGACGAGGGCCCTTCACTCCCACTCCTTCGCAAGCAATCCCAAGACTTTAGGCAAATAGAAAGTAGCAGCTCCCCTTTCTTTAAATGTCAAAACCATGACCACCTCTAGACCTGAAGAAATGCTGCCAGGGCCAGCGGCTCGAGGCTGGTAAACTGAGGAACTGGTGGTCAGTCTTGATCGGAGGAAGGCCAGTGTGTGTCGCTCGTTCCTTTACTCATTCACCTTCATGTCCGTGGCTGTTATTGAGTAGTTGTGACAAACCAGATGGCTCACAAGCCTAAAATATTGACTCTCTGGCCCTTTAAAGAAAACGTTTGCTGACAGGTGGTCTTGATGATCAGGAGAAAGGAGTCATTAACGATGCTAGCGGACACTATTTTGCCCTGCACACTAGATGTTTTACACAAGAATAAACAAGGATTACTTTCCCACCAAAGGATCCCAGGCAGGGAGTCAGCGGGTACCTCAGTTCCGATGAATGTGGGACGGATATACAGACTCGCAGATGTTGAATATGGGACCCATTCTTGATCTATTTTCACAAGCTGTTGAATACACTTTATCAGCTCTTCCTTGTCAAACCCCTGATGAAATGAAAATCATAATGAATAATGGAATTTTCTTCGCTTGTAGCAATAGAAAATAATCCTCACGAAAGCTTTAGGCTGTTAAAAAAGTACAATCAGACAAGAATTGTTTTTCTATGATATATTTCCCCCCAAATTATGATAGGACAATGGACTATAAAAATTGGGAAAATACAAAGTCAGATCCCTACCTCTTACCAAACCCAAATTATCAACTATAGTTGAATCATACATGTAAATGTGTAAAACATAAGACTTTTATTGTAAGAAATACAAAAATCACTGTCACTTTAAGATTAAAAAAAAAGAATTCTTAAATAACAGACATACAGCTGTTAAAAAAAAAGTGAATAAAATTTGACTACTTAAAACTTAAGGCTCTCATTCTCTTCAAGGAGGTGGGAGCAGCCCCCCGCCGATGTGGGGATGGGGATCTCTGTGAAGACTGTGGCAGGACCAGCACCCTCGAGGTGGAGCCCAGTGACAAAACTGAGGACGTCAGAGCTGAAATCCAAGACAAGGAGGGCATCCCGCCTGACCAGCAGCACCTGCATTTTTGCGGGTAAACAGCAGGAGGATGGCCACACTCCCTCAGACGACAATACCCAGAAAGCGCGCCCTGCTCGGTGCCTGGTCTGCAGGGTGGCATCATCGAGCCCCCCTCCCCTCCCTCCGCCAACTCGCCCAGAAGTACAACTGTGACATGATGATCTGCCACCAGTGTTTCTCCCACCTGCACCCCACACCGGCAACTACCGCAAGAAGTGTGGGCACACCAACAACCTGCGTCCCAAGAGGAAGGTTAAATAAGGCCCCTCCACCACCTCTCGGGCCCCCAGGGCAGCTTCTGCCTGAACGCTGTGACCTGGGGCCTCAATCAGCTTTTCCTTTTGTTGACTGGGAAAACAGCCAAAAATGTAAGGACTTCTATTCTTCAAAAGATATAAGCAGCAGCAAACTGGGTGAAGGTATCTGTAACCTAACCAGCAAAGAGTTGTACTGGAATGTTATGGGATACTGGAAATTAGTAAGAAAGAGACCAACTACCCAGTAGGAAAATGGGCAAAAGCTAAGAGCAGTTTATTTCTAAGGGGGAAAACATTTTCAGAGACTAAATGGGTGACCATTTGTAAAATAAGTAGTTTCTCCTCTCTTGGCGGGATAGGGAAACAGGCTTTCAGAGATGTGACGGGTTATCCCAAGTAGAAAATAGTCAGAAACACGCATCTGAATGGAACCCATAACATCAGAATTTGGCTATTCAAATACTAATTTTTAACAGCAATCACAGTATAGTAATACAGAAATTGGGACTGCTAATCTTTTAGGACATATCACCACCCTGTATCACTTGCTTGGGTCTCCGGTACTACTGTCTAGGGATGAGATTTAGTGGAAAGAGAACCTGACAAAGAAAAGTTTGCAGCCCTGGACGGTTTGGCTCAGTGGTTAGAGCGTCCGCCTGCGGTCCAGAGAGACCCTGGTTCGGTTCCCGCTAAGGGCGTGTACCTCGGTTGCAGTTTGTCCCCGGCCCTGGTCGGCCGTGCGGGTGGCAGCCACTCGATGTGTTCCTTTCACATCGATGTTTCTCTCTCTCTCTCTCTGTTCCTCTCTCTCCCTCCCACTCTATCTGAGCAAAAAATTGAAAAATGTCCTCGGGTGAGGATAAAAAAAAAAAAAGAAAAGTTTGCAAATTCTTTCTTACCCTTCATTTTGTGTGACTTTCGGCAAGTCATTTACCCTCTCTGGGTTCAAGTATTCCTCTCTGTGCAAAGGTGCTACTAAAATTTACAATACAGACACCTTCTTGTCAATGGCTTACTGTTATGATTAACCAGATGAAGAATATAAAACCACGTAGCATAGTGTGCGGCAGAGTTGATACCCAGTAAATGTTACTGCACTTTCCTTCTGTCTCTGTTTTAAAGTTTTCCCTGGTCATCTGTCGGTGATGGTAGAAAAGTGAGACTAGGACCAAGTGCATCGAACGTACCTTAGTTTCCCTTCTGCTATTGGCCTCTGAAGGGGGTGGGGGAGCACGGGTTACAAAAACAGGAAGGAGAAGGAAGAGCCTGGCTAATGAGCAGTAGTTACTTGTGTTTAGCTGGTCCCAGGCTTCTTCCATGCACAGTTTGGGCGAGATTCCCGAAGGTTAGGTACTCAGAATACAGAAAAGAAGGGAAAGACGTTTTTCATTTCAACAGCAGCCTGGTCACTTCTCAGGGGATGGAAGTAACCCACATCACCTCCATTGACATGTGAATCTAACATCTAATCTAACCCACTTTATAATAAATTATAATCCATAACAACGTCATGGCCAAGATCCAATGGCCATGAGAAACCATTTTGATATTGTGGGTTGTTGTTTGTTTGTTTTTTTAAATAAAATAAAATAGGGTAAGATATCAAAATAATGAATTAAATAACTGTATACTTGTTAGTGTCTAAAGCAATTAGGCAAAATATTCCCAAAATACCTGCTGTGGCCCAACATGGTTTCCATTTTCTTTTTTTTTCTTTTATCCTCATCCGAGGACATTTTTCCATTTTTTGTACAGACAGAGTGGGAGGGAGTGAGAAGAAGAGAGAGAAAGGGAAACATCGATGTGAAAGGGACACATCGAGTGGTTGCCACCCGCACGACCGACCAGGGCCGGGGACAAACTGCAACCGAGGTACGTGCCTTTAGCGGGAACCGAACCCGGGTCTCTCCGGACCGCAGGTGAACGCTCTAACCGCTGAGCCAAACCGGCCAGGGCATGGTTTCCATTTTCAATGTTATAGTTGCAGTCTTTAAATTTTATTTACTTAGTTTGAGGCATATTTTTATTCCTCATCCTTTTATCTCCCACATACACAATGATTCCCCACAGACACTCAAAGAAATGGACTATGGAATTACCAAATGGTATTGATTACTTTTTTATGTTTTTACCTCCCTAGTCACAAAGTAAATCTGATATAACTTCAGTATTCATACGGTTTGTACAGAATCACTACAGTCGTCCCTCGCCACTTCGCGCTTCGACTTTCGCGGCTTCACTCTATCGCAGTTTTTTCAAATATATTCATTAAAAAGTTGATCGAGACAGTGAAAATGATACAACACGCGCTTGGTTGTCTGAGTCAATTATACACCCCTGTATTACAATTACAATTAAAATTATTGTACGTGTGGACTGTAGGCCTATGGATTCGAGCACCCCAGGGATCCTTCAACGTCAGGTGCAACTGCTAGAGTCTGGAACAGATTAACCGCAATAAACCCGGGATGACTGTATTCTGACATGATTTCTTGGTAGTAAACTCAGAGTGAACCGTTATGTCAAGAGAAACAGAAGAAACCCCTAAATTTACCTACCGGCAAAGTGGCCCGCCGAGCAGACTTGTGCATTCTATCCATGTTGAGGTTTGGCCGGAAGAGTCGAATTTTATTATCTACCCCTCGAAATGCCTTCATTCCTTCAAATAACTGAAGATAAAAAGAGAGATCAGCTTTAGAGGTTATCAACTGAACGAAAGCAATCCCTGTGTTCAAAGAACGACTTGTCTGTAGGGGCTCGTCCCCTTCATCCTGTAGAGCTGTAAGCACAGACCTCAACCGGAGAGCCCTCAACCTAGAAATGCAAACTGACAGGCTGAGAACAGTAATCGCGATAGAAAGAAGTCATTTTATTACCAAAACTGGTGGGGATTCAGTTACCTGTGCTTAGGCAGAGCCCTGTTACTAAATAATACATTTATGGGGGTTGGAAGAAAAACATCCCCAATTGTACAACAGGGACTACTGGCCTAGACTAGACAACAGAGCGGAGACGAAAGGCCCCAGGATGCCTCTCAAAACAGCCCTGTATCTTTTCATTCCATCTGGCTCATTCAAACCCCAGGGAGTAGATAATCTAGATGTGACCAGGGCTAATTCAGCCCCAGAATCATAGAAACCAAGCAGGTCAGACCATAGCAATGTCAGGGCTAGGTCACCTTGCTCAAAGTGCTGCCCCAGACGAATCACTGCAGAGATGTGACAAGACCGAGAAGTAGGCAAACACAGAGAAAAGAGGGAAATGCCATGTTAGTGAGAAATTGTAACACAGGTTTTCTAGGTAATCAGCAGAACAGGCTAAACACAGTAAAAGTCTAAAAGATTTGAAAAAGAACAAAAAACTAACTTACTGGACAAACAGAATCCAGCCCACACCACCTGCAGAATGCGTGGGTTTTCTCACACGTTTTTCATCAGAAGAAAAGCCAAAAATCAATGCCAGAAATATAAATAGAAAATGTCCACATTTTGGAAAAGAAGAAATCCATTACAAAATAAAGCATGAGTTAAAGAAGAAACATAATGGAAATGAGAAAATATGTTGAACTGAATGCTAATGAAAAGTAGGGCTGTTAAGAGGTTTACAGCCTTAAAGCTTACATTAGAAAAGAGAAGAAATATAAATCATGTAGCACAATTAAAACACACAAAATTCAATGTTATAAGAGTAAATATATGAGTGATTTATTAAATATAATCAGAGTAAAGCTTCAGTTAAAAGATAAGGTTGTCAAAGAAAAGAAAATGAAAAAGAAAAACAAAAGATAAGCTAGTCAGATGGGACTCCACTGAAAAACATCTGAAACAAGGAGCTACAGAAAGCAATATATCACACTAATACTTTCTAAAACAGGGCTGGCAGGTATAAGTGTAGATAAGTAAGTCTTAGATATTTAATGCACAGCACAGTGACTATAAACAACACTGTACTGCAAACTTCAAAGTTGCCAAAACTCTAGATCTTAAGTGTTCCCACCACAACAAAGAAATGGTAATTGTGTGACATGATAGAGGGATTGCTGAGGCTACAGTGGCAATCAAAGTGCAATATACAAATGTATCAAATCAACACAACTGATATGTAACATAGAATGTTCCATATCAAATATATCTCAAAAATAGCTGCTGGGATTATATTACTAAATACAAAATAAAATAGAAACCGTCATAAGATTTTTATTCACAATTTAAAAATTGTATGTTTTTGAAATAGGTTTGGATAGATGTAAAGATTTGCCCTGGCCAGTTTGGCTCAGCGCTTAGAGCGTCAACCTGAGGTCCAGAGAGACCCGGGTTTGGTTCCCACTCAGGGCACGTACCTTGGTTGGGGTTTGTCCCTGGCCCTGATTGGGTCATGTGGGTGGCAACCACTTGATGTGTCCCTTTTACGTTGATGTCTCTCTCTCTCTCCCTCCCACTCTATCTGAACAAAATATCGAAAAATGTCCTCGGGTGAGGATTAAAAAAAAAGATTATATAATAACATTGAGTAAAAAGATGCAAAATACACAAAAGGCTAACACAGTATGACTAATTTAGATTTATCCCAGGAATACAGCTTGGCTTAATATTAGAAAATCAATTAATAAGATTTACTATATTAACTTTATGAGAAAAAAAAACCTATATGGTCACCCTGGTTGGTTTTGCTCAGCAGTTAGAGCGTTGGCCTGTGGACCAAGGAGTCACAGGTTTGATTCTCGTCAAGGGCATATACCTTGGTTGCAGTTCCGTCCCAGTCCTGGTGGGAGTCGTGTGGGAGGCAGCCAATAGATGTGTTTCTCTCACATTAATGTTTCTCTCTCTCCCTCCCTCCCTCCCACTCTATCTGAAGATCAATAAAAAAAATCCTCGGGTGAGGAGTTAAAAAAATATGAAAAATAAAGGTAAAATGCTATTTAAAGAAACCAAACTATATGGTCTTCTCATTAGATGTAGTAAATGCATCTGGTAAAAATCAAACATTCATTTATAATTTTTAAAAAGTTTCCTAAATAATTTTAAAAAGAGAGAGAGAGCTTTACATGACAAGAGGTATCTAAAATAAACTTGCACTAAACATTATACCTAATGATAAAACTTGAAGCTTGCCTTTTCAGATAGGGAACATCATAAATTGTTGTGACTACTTAAATTCAATATTCTGCAGCCAATATAATAAGGCAAGAATAATAAAATAAAATGCATCTGGTTTAAAGAAGAAAACAATAAAACTGTCATAGATCATGAAATATAGAAAAGATTAAACATTTAGAAAATCCAGAGAAACTGACACAATCTCTTGAAATTCTTTGTTTAGGCCAGGTAGCTGGATGCAAAAGTATACTCCTAGGTAACAGCAGCAGTTCGAAGATAATACTATTTATGATCAAATTAACAGGAATGCTAAGGCGAATAAAATCTAACAAAAGAAGTGAAAGACCCATAAGGAAAATACAAAACTTTACCAAGTCATTAAAGACCTAGCTAAATGTGGAAAGCAAGCTCATGCTCAAGGGTGGAAGGCAGCTGTACTCACCAGTCCGCCACCAATGCCAACAATGCCCATGAATGGAAAGATCGAATATGATAAAGAGGCCAATTCTTTTCAAATTGATTTATATATTCAATGCAATCCGAATGAAAACCATGTCAGGGCATTTTATTTTAATAGGTAGACTATTGCTTATTTCCAGCACCCCAATATTCTGAGAAAGATGCCCAACACATTACGAACAAGTAAAATTAAGTAAAATAAAATCAGGGAGTATATTGTGTATCTGGCTAAGTGTGAATCCTGAGAAGGACCACAGAAAGCATCTCTAAATATTTAATATTTTATGCTTGTAATTATTCCACTCATTCCTGAAGGATGACCTTTAATTACATGTCCCTTAACACGCAGAACTGCAGATTATCGCTGGTCATAAAAACATGCCGTTAGCACTAAAATCTAACCATAATATTGTACTCGGTGGCCTCCTCTCAATCATTAGAAGATCTGCGAAGACAAGTGATTTAGTAAAATAGTAAAAGTACAGGCTTTTAGATTGTTACTTTTCTTACCAACTCTACTTCCTGTTTGCTCTAAATGAGTTTTCATTGACGTTGAAGAAAATTTAAGATTATCTAAAAGTTAGTTCTTAAGACTTACCTTAATTGAGACGGTCTACAGGCAAAGTTTTAAAGACACGTATGACTTCCCTGAGTCACGCGGGCCAAGCCCACCCTGCCCCGAAGCTCTGTCAGCAGGGGCAGCACCTGGTGCCCACGGAGACGGGCAAGCGTGTTGCCGTTGTCATCGCTGCACACTCACCTCCACGGCGTAGTGCAGAGCCGACGAGCTAGGGTGTAGCGACAGGTTCTGGAAAGGCTTGATATGCGGTTTCTCCCATCCACACTCTAAGGACCACTCAATTGTCAGCATGTGATCTGTGAAAACGGTTCCAAACACCACAGTAGTCGGGTCTGGTTTCTCCTTTAAAGTGGTGGCTGGTGTGATTATTAGATCTTTAGCCTGGGGAAGAAAAATTGGCACCTTTCAGGAAGAGTAGCTGAACATCTACTGGCTACAGATAAAGAGGGCTAAAAATAAATAAATAAATAAATAAAATTGAAGTCGTTGGCCATTAGAATTAGAAATGACTTGACTTTTTTTTCTATCCTCAGAACTTATTTAACTTATCATTGGAACTTTTGACCACCTTCATCTATTTCTCCTATCTCCTACCACCACCTGACTTCTATGTTTGTTTCTATTAATTTTAGACAGAGAGAGGAAGGGAAAAAGAAAGATGGGGAGAGAGAAAGAGAAAGAAACACATCAATTTGTTGTTCCACTTACTCATGCATTCATTGGTTGATTCTTGCATATGCCCTGACCAGGGATCAAACCCACAACCTCAGTGTAGTGGGAAGACACTCTAACCAATTGAACTACTTGACTTTTCTTGCCTAAAGAAAGGCAGACTGCCACAAGCAGTGCCTCATTTTGGATGTGTCTGAGGTCTTGGAAGCTTGACTACTCCATGTTCTCCTACAAATGGACCTTGAGAGCTTGCTTGGAGGTTCTAGCAGGGAGTGCAGCTACTGTATACCCTTGACCAAAGAAGGTCCTCTCCTCTGGGGGAAGGTCCTCCTCTTCCACTGAGTTCATAGCTTCAGGAAGGATGCACATGGATCAGTGAGGGAGGAAGGGGACCGCTGTCTAGCCAGCCAGATCAGCCAAATCAACCCTGGGGATCACCAGGGTGACTGATGTCAACGCCCTCACATCCCTGACTTGATTTTTTTCTTTATCCTCACTGGAGGACATTTTTCCATTTTTTGTTCAGATAGATGGGCGGGAGAGAGAGAAAGAGAAACATCAACGTGAAAGGGACACATCGAGTGGTCGCCACCTGCACGACCCAACTAGGGCCAGGGACCAACTGCAACTGAGGTACATGCCCTTAGCGGGAACGGAACCCGCGTCTCTCTGGACCACAGGCCAGCACTTTAACTGCTGAGCCAAACCTGCCAGGGCCCGACTTGACTTTTAAATGTTGGCAACTGACTCGGAAATTTAACACTGCGAGCCAAACAAACCAGCCTGCGTTCAGAAGTCGGCCTGCCGATTGAAATCTTGGTGATATATACTGCCTAATAAATCCCAGAACCAGAATTCAGTGATATCCAGAAATAGTAGATGGGGTAAAATGAAGCAAAGAGGAGAACACATCCCTCTTTGTTACTATCATAGGGCTCATGGATGGCACTGAGCCAAGAAGAAAGGGGTGTCTTCCACAGCAAATATAGCAACACCAGCAATAACTTGTTAAACTAAAGCAAACGCCATTAAGGCCCAAACATCTTGGTAATGGTTATACTTCCACTCCCCCAAAGAATTCCTGGATGAGCCTGAAGTCCCCCGGGGGAACTGGAGAAGCAATGAGCAAAACGAAGCAACTGTTTTCCTCTCTGAACACAGAAGTAGAAAATGAACACTAATGTATTAATCCTCTGTCTGTGCCGAGGAAACAATGAACAAAGGGAGCTATGACTGAGCGAAAGATAAGAGTAACAGGAAATAATCTCACACGGCAGCATTTCACCAACATTCCACATACAGCCAGCGTGCCCATTACACATGGCCAAAGACACAAACATGCAAATCACAGACAATACCATCACTAACTTTTTAATAGCTGTAGAATGGTGACAGAAACCATAGGTGAAGGAGGTTTTTGAGCAGTTATAAAACATTATTAACCAGGCACAGGTTCAAATTAACTTTTTTATCCACATTCCATAGCAACTAAAACCATAGGTGAAGGAGGTTTTTGACCAGTTATAAACAATATTAACCAGGCACAGGTTCAACCCGTTAACAAGCTGTAAGAAAGGTCAAACTCCATTTCTTTTAACACACAAAAGTACTATCCATCCCCTCAACACACCCAAAATCAAATATAGAATTTTAGTTTATATTATCAGCTCTTATTGTTATTTTTTTTTAATCTTCACCCAAGGACATTTTTCCATTTTTTTTGTTTAGATAGAGTGGGAGGGAGAGAGAGGAAGAGAGAGAAAGGGAAACATTGATGTGAAAGGGACACATTGAGTGAGTGGCTGCCACCCGCACGACCCAACCAGGGTCGGGGACAAACTGCAACTGAGGTACATGCCCTTAGCGGGAACTGAACCCGGGTCTCTCTGGACCGCGGGCCAACGCTCTAACTGCTGAGCCAAACCGGCCAGGGCTCTTATTGTTATTTTTAAATGACCTAAGTACTTCTGATTAATTCACTGCCTTATAGCTGCCTTAGTCATTTGGTGTATTATCCATAATAATCAGTTTTATTTTTAGAATAATATTCCAGCTGAAATGTATTCTAAAACAACCAAAAAGCTCATTATAAACTAAACTGGAACACAACGTTTCTTCCAAAACTCGGTCCCTATTTCTGGCATTCATATTACTTTCTACTTCTTTATTTCTTACCCCTTAATTTATTGAATAAGGGTAATGCACGTTTATTATTTTACTTAAAATTTTGACTGTAATGAAGGGAAGAACAACGAAAAGTATAAAATCCTCAACTACTACACTGCCCACCGTATTTCCACTTCCCAGAAATGACCTCCGTTAACAAATTCCTTGGGTATATTTCTTGCATTGTTGTTACTTCCAAGGTCACTTATCAACCTTACATTCTCCCCGCCCTTGGTTTCCCATATCGATCACTGAACTGAGACACTTGTTCTCTCAAGATTCCTTTAGTAAGTCTAATTCAATTTCTACTACCCCCTCACTAGCAAATTCTCTTTTTCCAGTTCAATGTCCATGAACAGTTAGATGGCTACAGATTCAAGTCCAAATATTTCAGCCCAACTAATTCCCCTTTCATTCTGATGCAGAACCCACACGATGTTCAGCATGAGTCTTTTACCCATCATCTAGTAAAGTGTTCAACTGTGTTCAACTGCAAGTAAATCAAACATGGTAGGAGTTTTCTCACATAAGTTAGGAGGAGCCAGGCCCGGCAGAACTCGGGAACATCAAGGTTCTGTGATTTTCTTAGCCTTCTCCTCAGGGACAAACAAGGCTGCTGTAGCAGTAGCTTCAGCTCTAATGATCTAACCAAAGTCTAAAGAAAGAGTAGACAGGACAATGTCACACTTTTCTGTTCCCTTTAATCATACAAGTAAAATGTTGCCAGAATTTCCCTCATGACTTATTGGTTAGAAATGTGTCATTCAGATCCACCCAGCTGTGAGGAAGGAGAGAAATGCAAGGTTGTCACCCAGGGCTGCTCACTGAATTGTAAGCAAAATTAAGGTTCTATAACAAGGGGTGGGTGGGGCTGTATGCTGGGTATACATTGGCCCAGTGCCAGAAAACAGTACCAGTCCTTAAGAATTCTTGTTTACATACCTTTGTCCAACATGGAAGGAGACACAGAAGCCCCCCCCCCACACACACACACATACCTTTTTTCCTCCCTGCCATTTCCTCCACTTGTAGCACTGGATATGAGATGCCTCCAGTTAACCCAAATTCTCTCCCTTCTTCCTCCAGCCGTGTGTGGAAACTACAGCACCCCATCTGACTCAGAAATCTGTGATAGTATCCTCAGCTTTCAAGCTACCTCGAACTTGCTTGACTTACTGCTCATACAACCCCTCTAATATAGAGAGTTCACCCTCCAAAAGGGGTGAACTTACTGCTCATACAACCCCTCTATATAGAGAGTTCGCCCTCCAAAAGGCTTGGTTTGGCTCTATAAAACCCTTTTAATCAATATGAACAACTGGGAAATGGGAGTCATATTTCTTTATTGTGGTGGCCTCTCATTTAGCACAGCAACTATTGTACATATCACTTATGTCTGATTAATTCAGTTCCAAACTTCACAGAACTTGGATTGATCTTCATAGTTTGGATATTGACAAAATAGACTGCTACAATTTTTTTTTAAAGCCGTCCTTACTGTATTCCATAAAAGACCTTTTTTGCTGTTGTTGCTGTTGGTACAAACCGTCAAGGAACCAATGCCCATTATATGAATTTTACTTTTCTGAAAACTCTCCTTAAAACACCTCTGGACCATCCATAGTAAGCCACTGGCCCAGAGAGATGAACTTAATGAAGGACAAAACACAGATATTGACTAAGGTATTTTTATGCTCAACTTAGTGTTCTTGTAATAAGAACTTGCTAAACTAGTTAAGTTTCTGGAAACTGAATATAAACTATTATACTACCAGTACTAGTTCTATAGTAATAAACCACTACCACTTGACTACTGCTTGAGTAAGACATGCAGTTTGTTAGATGTGACAAGCAGCCTCTAGCTTCCTGATCTGTATGTGGGGATTGTCCTACATGCAGTTTTTCAAAGTAATGCACTATTTGGTGACTTCATAATTTCATCAACCACACCCACTGTCCTTTATTTGAGAAAATTCCTGCAATTCTGGAAACTAAAAATAACAGCTGTTAACCTGAGTTCAAAGAGAAATTACCTAAGAATACTAACTTTAAAAAATTAAATGATATAGTTGAATAAAGTTGAAAAGTATACAGTATCAACTAAAGGTGTGAATGGTTTTGAGTAGGTATGAAATAAAGTTCTAATGTAAAAAAATATATATATTGACATAAAAGAAACAAATTTTATAAACAATTTTTATCAGTGTTCTTCAAAAACCAGTTCCTTTTTCTACATTTTCTTTCCAAAGATGGATAAACATGAACTATTTGAAACATGATACTTTCCCCTGCATAATTAGTCTGTCTATTTCCAGTGCTTCATGTTCCCTGATGACTTCAAGTTAGGATGTTTCCTACCAGATACTTGTGGGAGAATTTGGAAGGCCACCATGACCAGATTGTGAAATGACAAGAAATACTGACAAAAACAGGGCGTATTAAAAATGAACAATTTCCTAACTCAAAACACGTGCTTGGGTAGTCATTTGCTTTGAAATGGGGGCCCCTATCGCTGACTAGTGCACCTTTGTTGAGAGCCCCTGAGGACTGTATAAGCCAACATTCTTCTGTTCTGCTCACCACTTACTATAGCATCTGCAAGTCTCTGCCACACACTTCAACTTCCAAAGACTATCTCTGCATAACAACTGTATCAGAAATGGCTAATTTTGTTCTACCCTAAGTGCACTTTTTAAACTCTATTTGGAAAGTGTTCGGTGCTCTGTTCATTATCGTTTAGAGACACTTGAAAACAAATAAGGAGGTATGAAGAGGAGAATTACAGATTTGGACTCCCACACTCTGGGATCTGCAAAGCAGGGGGAATGGGAAGAAATAGACAGCTGACCTTCTGGAAACTAAGAAGATTCTGGAGTCACAAAAAGATTCCAGTAGTAAGAATGCCCCTGTAATAAGGCATCTTCCTGAGGGCCCTGAAGGAAAACTGCATTCTTACTGTAGTGACCACTTCAAAATGGGGAGGGGATGCAATATGAAAACAATCCACATGAGACCCCAAAGGCAATTTAAAAGTCATAAATAGGGTAAGTCAAGAAAGAGATTAAAAATAGGTCAAAAGCAAAGATGGTCCTATAAAATCCACCACTTTCTCCCCCAAATTATCGATTTCATGTACAGCCACCTTTAGAACACATTGTGATGGGTAAATACATAACTGTAGAATGTCAATATGCCCCCCTCAACTAAAATCTAATACATAGAAATCTAAATGAACAAGTAGCGACATAATTTACTTTGTGAATTCTTTACTTTGCAAAAAACAAAAAACTGTTCTATGTATAAAGAGTGCACCACCCCTCCCGGGAACAGTCCGTGCCTCTCCCTTCCCCTCTTCTTCCCCCACCGGGAAGCTTCTCCTGAACTCTAAGGGTCCCCGAGAGACTTGCAGCCAGAGCAGCAATAGGCAGCCGCAGCTCCTCCCGGGCTACGCCCCTGAACCTGCCCCCAAGGCCCCCTTTTCTCTGACTGTCCAGTGAGGTCAGGCAGCCCTGCCCAGGCTCTCCTGTAGCTTCTTCTATCCCAGCCCTTCCTTGTTCCACTGTCCCCAGCTTTAATAAACGTCCTCTCAAAAATAAAAGTATAACAACCTTTTGGGGGAAATTGTATTTATCTATCTACACCCTCTGAAGAATTTATTTACTGCATAAGATAACCCTTAGAGATGATCAAGTATGAGTCTGTTTTATCTCATTGTTTCAAGAACCTATGTCTCAATAGCTAAGTTCCCAAATATGTATTAGAGCTGTCTTCAAAGACTAGCAAAGCAGATTGGCTACAAGGTTGTAGAGAATATTATCTTTAAAGGACCAGGAATAATATGGACAAATAAAATTCACAAACTTGCTTTAGTGAGGAAATTACTATATTCTAAGGTTTTAGATTTTAAAATATCCTGAGAGCAGAGACCTTATCTTGACTGTATCTTTGAATTTCCAGTGTCTAGCAGAATTCCTGGTACACAGCAAGAGCTGTGTGTGTGTGTGTGTGTGTGTGTGTGTGTGTGTGTGTGTGTGTGAAACTGATGAGTCAAGTTCTCTCTCTGAACCCTGCCAGGATGTGAGATCATTAGGACACTCTGTGCTGTGGATGACAATTGACAGTGACTGAAACAGGCAGCAGGAGAGCAGAACCAGACATAAAGAGAAGAAGCAAAAACCTCCATAGCTGGGGAGGTGAGAAGGAGGTGGAGATAGTGATTTATAGAGAAAATAATACCTTACGGATGTATTTTTATGATTTTCAAAGTACTTTTTAAAAGTTTCTTTCTCAGTTGCTCCTCACTATCCTTCTGTGAAGTATGAGATTTAATACAGAAACCCATAATTCAGAGAGAAAAGGAGAAACTACATTTTTACTGTAAAATATTAGGTGCTTCCCTGGCTGGTTCGGCTCAGTGGTTAGAATGTCGGCCTGGGGGTCCTGAGAGACCGGGATTCAGTTCCCGCTAGGGGCATGTACCTCGGTTGCAGTTTGTCCTTGGCCCTGGTTGGGTCGTGCAGGTGGCAGCCACTCGATGTGTCCCTTTCACATCAATGTTTCTCTCTGTTCCTCTCTCTCCCTCCCACTCTATCTGAACAAAAAAATGGAAAAATGTCCTCGGATGAGGATATATATATATATATACACACATACACACACACACACACACACACATATATGGTGCTGCCTAAAGAGAAACATCATGACTTTAACTTTTTCCACAAATGGCGTGAGGGTTATACTTATACAGTCAGATAAACCTTTAGATAAATATTCACAAATTGATTACTTTCCAAGAAAAAAATTATGATTTCTGAAATACTATACACAGTTTAACTGCCAGGTTGTTTTAGATGTGATGAATGTACTACTGCTCCCCAAAGTATTTTCCCCCCTAAGAGGAGAATTTAAAATGCATAGCAGCAGAGAATTCATGGACATGGACGACAGTGTGGAAATTGTGGGGGGTAAGTAAAGGGGGTCGGTAGAAGTGGAAGAAGTCATAGAGGAGATAAATAATGATGGAAAAAATAGAATAAAATAAAAATTTTCAATCATGCAGTAATATTTTAATGGCAGTGTAAGTAATATCCATTTGAAAAGTATTTCTGAGAGGTTATTTTTACTTTTTATATTGAAATAGTTACATGTTCACAGAAAGTTGCAACAATCGTAAGGAGAGGCCCCATGTACCCTTTATCCAGTTTCTATCAATGGTTACATCTTGCATAACTATTACATAATGTCCAAACCAGAAAATCGATATTGGCAATGTGTGTGTCTAGTTCTATGCCACTTTATCAGGTGTGTAATCACCACAGCAGTCAAGATACAGAACTATTGCATCACCACAAAACTCGCTCTCAGGACACCCCTTATAGTCACACCCACACCCCTCCCTCCACCATCCCAATCCCTGGCAACCATGGATCTGTTTTCTCTATAACTTAGTCATTTTCTGATGTTTCTTAAGAAACTGATTTGCTCTTTGCTTCTCCCAATTTAATAATAAATGATTTAGAAGTCAGTGCTTCAAAATTTGTATTTCTTCAAAAAAATCTACATGCTTCCTTTATCAGACAATCAGAACCATAGAACCCGGGAGGTTTAGGGCCATGTACTGATGGCTCGGGTCACACAGGTAAACTCACCCTATACCTGGTACATGTTCTTTCATCTTTTTAATGGATCTTTGCTCTCTTTTATTTTGTTTTCTCACTTTATGCTTAATAGGTATTGCTTGGGGACGATGCTTAATTCATATTTGAAGTAAGTAGTAAACAAAAATGATTGTAAATAATGCTTTGCTGCAGTAACAAAAATGTTTAGCGTTTTATTGACGGCTTACCAAATCAGACACTTTCCTAAAGTGGTATCCATGGATAAACTCATTTTCTTCTCACAGCCCCAGTAGGCAGCTGAGGAAACTGAGGCACAAGAAGACTGAGTTGCTTGCCTAAGCTCACACAGCTAGTGAGTGCCAGGCCCAGGATTCAAACCCACGGAGCACAGCTCCGGATCCCAGACCTACAGCTTCTAGTTTGTGCTGTGAACCCAGAGCCTTACTAAGCAGCTTCTTCAATGAATAACTGAATCCCTCTCTTAAACTTAAGAAATTTAATTTTTTGTTGCAGCAACTCTTTCTTCTGTTTAAATGTTTTTCTTCAAGACCTACACAGTAGCCTGTGAAATACAGCCATCTGGGTAGTGGTTCGAGCCCCAGGTAAACCCCTCCATCAGCATCTCTCTGTACACAATTCTTTCCAGGAGGTAAAACCATTGAAAGGTTATGTCACAAGCAGCTCAAAAGAGAAAATAGCCCTGGCCAGTTTGGCTCAGCAGTTAGAGCGACTGCCCGCAGACCAGTAAGCGGACAATGAGTCGCAGGTTTGATTCCGGCCAAGGGCAGATACAAGGGCAGGTACCTCGGTTGCAGTTCCTCCCAGCCCTGGTCGGGCCCTGTGGGAGGAAACCAGTCGATGTGGCTCTATCACGTCGATGTTTCTCTCTCTCCCACCCTCCCTCCCACTCTACCTAAAAATTTTTAAACATTAAAAAAAAGAGAGATAGAGAAAATATATCACAAAAAGGCAATGTAGGGCTTTTGCTGGAAGAGAAAAAAAGATGAGCCAACGCAATTAGCCTTGGGCAGGGCAGGAGAGGGTAAAAGCCTTAGGATTTTGAGGTGCTTTCATCAGCTGGCAGAGACACTCCTCCCCCATTCCCTGTCAATTCTGAGTCATGTCCATCTGTCCACCCTGGAATCCAGGCCACTTGGTGGGATGGTCACCATTGCGAGGGAGCGAGCAGGCCCCTCATCTGGTGTGGGAACCTCAGGTTCATGCGCTCTGCCTGACAAACCACATTCCTAAAGCATGTCACCCGGCTGTTCAGGCTGCACTCAGAGAGAAGCGGGGGCACCCCGTGTGTGCAGTCAGTCAGTCTGCACACACGGCAGAGAATGCCAAGCACTCTCAGGGCCAAATGCAAAGCAGCATATCAAACCACCGTATAACCCGCACAGTGAAAATTGCCCCAAATGTTAACAAGAAATAAATTTACGCAGTTAAATGGTTGTTTCACATCATCTCAGGCACATAATTTACCTTAAAAGTCCCCATGACCGCATCTGATCCTGCTTCTCCGATACATTCTTCCAAACATCCGTTATTGCAGTCCTTAAAGAAGAATTAAATCCATTAAGTAAAACCAGGTGGGTAACTGGGGCCTGGGGTAATCAATATCACTCACCATTACAACGTGTGCTCCGCTGAGGGACCCAAAGAAACAGGAAAAGGAGCGTGGAACACGCAGGCACAGCCCCCAAAAAGAGAGTCCCGGAGCGCCCTTCACTGCCCACCCTGCCCGAGGTCGCGGCCGTTTTGTCCTCCGCCGCTAGCTAGGGCAGGCAGGCTGCGGAAAAATCCAGGTTCGCCCTACAGAGCCACGGTTCGCCAGCAAAGAACAAGAAGGTAATTGTCTCCCTTATATCCGAGTAAATTCGTCTAGACTGGGGTTTTAAGCCATTTATAGCAAAATCTCCCGGGCGCGCTGAGCCTCGTGGTGCTGTCAATCACCGGCACACAATGGCCAGCCTGGAACAGGGACGGGGAGGCGAGGGGGCGCTTTCTCCCGCCAGGGTCCTCCGAGGCAGGCTGGACGCCCAACCCCGCACGCTAAGGACCAAACCTCACGGAAATCGGGGTCATTTAAAAGATACGTAAGAACAGAATGGAAGAAGGGCGAAGTGGAAACAGATGCAGACCTTAAAAAAAATTAAAAATAAATACAATAAAAACCGCCTACTGTGCTAACTACGGGAGAGGGGGAGGAAAGGGATCCCAGGAGGCAGAAGGCTGCGGGGGAATATTCCGAGGTGGCGAGGGCACGCAGGAGGTGGCTGTCAGCTCTGGCGGCCCCGGAACCCCGCTCCCGCCTCCTTGCGCAGCGCGGCTCCCATGGCGACCCTCGCGTCCCCGGCGGCTGTGCCCGCCGCCCTCCGGGCCGTCGCGGGGGGCTTGGACTCGGCGGGCGGCGTTCGCAGGCTGGGACCCCAGATTTCGGGCAGGGCCGTGGGAAGAGGAGGCTCCGCAGTGGAGGTGGGACGGCGGTGCGGGGTGAACCAGGGTGTCGCAGGCAAGGGCAGCAATGAGCCCAGCCAGGCCCGCGCGCTTCCGAGGCCCGGGTCTGATCCGCCCCCCTTCCTCGAACGCCCGGCCCGGGTACCTGGCGGGCGAGGGCGGCGGCGGCGCGGGGAAGGCTGGGCGCGGGGAGCCTCCGGGGACGCGGGGCTGCGGGGGGCGGCGGCTCGCAGGGCGCCGCGGGGCGTGAAAGCGGGCGGCGCGCCCAAGCTGCGGCGCACGGACCGCGTGGAACCGGCTGCCACCGCCCGGGCCGCGCAAGGGCGAGGCGCAGGGAGCCGCACAGCCCCTCCAGCATCCCTGAAGAAGGAGCCTCCACCCGTCTGGTCCGGCTTCAGTAGGGAAAACCAAAGCGCTGGTCCCTGCCCCTGGTTCCCTCGGGCTGGGGGACGAGATAGATGCCGCCAGGGAGCGCCTTTCTGCGCGCAGGCACTTCGCGAGCGAGCATCCTTCACGATTAAACAACCCCTCGGGCCGCCCCTCGGCTAAGGCGAAGGCAACCTCGGGAGTAATAGATTTACGAAGGGGCAGATTTTCCGTCGACAAACCGGCAAACGGCTGTCTCGTGTGGCCCCGCCCCGCCCGGTTGGGGGCAGTTGTGCATAGGCCCGTGTCTGCCACCGACCCTCATGTGCAAACTAAGTCGGATTTGCGACTCAGGATGTTGCTGGGCTACCAGGCTCACATTCCCAAAGAGTTGTTTTGACCCAAAGACCTCGGTGCCACTTTGATCACCTATTCATCATTTTCAGGCAAAATAGAGTATCAAGGGCTCCCAATGAAACTGTTTTGACATTTTTCTCATACAGCTCTGTGACAGCAATATTTAGAAAGGGCGCTGAGAAAGTGATGTTTGAAATACTACTAGCACAGAAAGAGAAAAGAAAGATTATAATTGTAATACCTATTGTCTCCTCTGATGTCCTCGGGCAATAGGGCGATGCCCCCCTATATTATGAGTCTTCCAAAAGGCTTTTAAATTAATAGGAAGTAGTGACTGGCTGGAGCTGACTTGAATTGGGAGAGGGAGGAGGGCAGTTTATTTTGGCTAAAAGTGATCAAATCTGGTCTGGTTTTAGAATTGATTTTATACAGCCCTAAAGAAAATACAGCTGTAATCTTTTCAGAAAACAACATTCTCTTCCTTCCCCACCCGTATCCCCCACCCCACTCCCTTTCACACAAGGCACAGAAAAGCCTCTTTTACTGAGGTGGAGTCCCAAGTTCCAAAGACCACACAGCTCAGCAGGTCATGTCATCAAAGAGTCACTGGAAACCTGGAGTCTCTTCTCAAAAAACAAAGTTTTAAATTTAATTTAAAAATAAAGACTACCTAAACACTAGAGCTGCCGGTTTGAGACTCCTACCCAAACCTTAAGAATAAGAAGCCCTTGGTTGAAAAATCATAAACAATTTATTTGCATTCAAAAGGTTGATTAAAATGTCTACACCAGACATTCATTCAGAGCCTTGCTATTTTCTTGTTGTTTTATTTTACTTTTTAAAATATTTTTTCTTTATTGATTTGCGAGAGAGAGAGAGAGAAACATGGATGAGAGAGAACATTGATTGTCCACCTCCTGCATGCCCCCCACTGGGGGTCGGGCCCACAACCTGGGCATGTGCCCAGGGAATCGAACTGGCGACCTCTTGGTGCATGGGTCGAGGCTCAACCACTGAGCCACACTGGCCGAACATTTTCTTGCTATTTTAAAAGTTACCTGTAAATCCACCGTCTTCCGTCAAGAAAGCACATCTAATATGAGAATGGTGTTGTGAAAGGATGAGCATACACCACCTTCCCTCCCTTTCAGGGCCAAATCTGTGAACGTGAAGCTGTACCTGCTGCTCCTGTCTCCTCCCCTTCAAGTGACTACAGTGTGGCTTTTGTCCAATACTCCACCTAAACAAGGTTCCTAACAGTCTTCATTTCGCTCAACCCAAGGTTTTGCTTCCTGTGCATTTTCATGGCTGCCTCTACACGCTGATGACTCCTAAATATACATTCTTTTCATTCTATCTCTTTCTGAGCAGTAAGTACTTAACAGTAAAAATAATAATAATAATAATAATCTGTCTAAAATATTTTCACCCGGCTGGTGTAGCTCAGTGGACTGAGCATCATCCCATGGACTGAGAGGTCCTGGTTCGATTCCTTGTCGGGGCACATGCCCGGGTTGTGGGCTCGATCGATGTTTTTCTCTCACATTCATATATCTATCTCTCTCTCCCTTCCTCTCTCTCTCTAAAAAGACAAAAACAAAAAAAACAATACAACATTTTGAAATATGTGACATGTGTGAAGCACTGGTCTAGGCAGTGCTGGGGAAGCAGTGTGAGTCTATGTCCATGAATTGCCTCCAGCCAAGTAGGAAAAAGTTACTTATGTTACCAATGTTGACTAATCCCACAAAGGTAAAATTGCAAATGTAACAAGTGCCACCTCTGCTTTAGGAGCCTCTAGTAGTGGGATGTAACAGACTCCGAAAGGCTTTCCAGCCAGGGAGTCTTAAGCAAAGATCTGGAGGGTTAAAAAAAGTTATTATAAGGAGAAGAGGTGAAGAACGTCCAGAATGACAATGAGTTCCAGGCAGAAAGGACATTTCTGAGGAGGGAAGCGACATGGTGGTTCCAGGGGCCCAAAAGGCAGCCGGCTCTAGGGTAGAGACAAGCAAAGGGTGTTCAGCCCAGCATGAGCCTGGGACGGTGGGAAAAGGGCCGGTTATGTAGAGCCTTATAGACAGAGTTAAAGGATAAGGTTCCCCCAAAAGAGCTAAAAACATGACTGTCATATGAGACCTGATTTTGGGTGGGGAGCCCACAATGCAGAATGTAGATGATGTTTTACTGAGTTGTACCCTTAAAACTTGTATGATTTTCTTGACCAATGTCACCCCAATAAATTAAATTTTAAAAATGAATGTGTATTATAGAGTTGTTTTAAAGTGCATTTAGAGAAGTTATTACCAGGCAGATGTTAAAACCGATTCAAAGAACAGATGCATTTCTGAGTCAATTTTATTAAAATGAACTTTTTATTCTTTTTCCCCCCCGCCCTATATCCTCCTCCATTTCTCCCCACCCCCATCTATCATCCTCTCCTCCCTCCAACCCCCTGGCAATCACCACACTGTTGTTTGTGTCCATGAGTTTTTTCTCTTGTTTTTTGTTTGTTTTTTGTCTTTTTCTGTTTTGCTCCCACCACCGTAGTTGCTAATGGAATTAAAACTGGCTTCTTGTCCGGCCAGTATGGCTCAGTGATTGAGCGTTGACCCATGCACCAAGAGGTCGCCAGTTCGATTTCAGGTCAGAGAACATGCCCAGGTTGTAGGCCAAATCCCCAGCAGGGGGCATGCAGGAGGCGGCCAGTCGATGTTCTCTCTCATTGATGTTTTTTTTTTTTGGTGGTGGTACGTGCCCCTAGTAGGAACCGAACCTGGGACTCTCTGGTCCGCAGGCCGATGCTCAAACACTGAGCCAAACTGGCCAGGGATCATTGATGTTTCTATCTCTCTCTTCCTCTCTCTCTAAAATCAATAAAGAATTTTTAAAAATTATTTTTAAATAAAACTGGCTTCTTCCATAGAAGAGGAAAGAAGTTAATTAAACTTCAGAATTGCCTGTCTGCCACAAGAGTTATTTCATGTTTTCATCAGTTATGTGTAAAATTACTCAAAAGCAATGAAACAATGTAAAAATACAATAAAAGGGCCCATGGAATGCTAAAAACAAGGAAAAACATTGAAGAACAAACTCATAGATACAGAGAACAAATTCATGGTCTCCAGAGGGGAGGAGGGTTGGGAGGATGAATTAAAAAAGAGATTAAAAATACAAATTGCCAATTAAAAAATTAGTAACAGGGACATGAAGTACAGTTTAGGGAATATAGTCAATAAAAGTGTTAATAACTATGTATGGTGTCAGGCAGGTGCAAGACTTATCAGGGGGATCACTTTGTAAGGTATATAAATGTCTAATCACTGTGTTGTACACCTGAAACTTATTGTATGTCAACTGTAATTGAAAAATAATATTTTTAAAATTTTTTATTAATTTCTTTTTGTTACAGATATTTCTCCTTTTTTCCCCATTGACACTCTCCTCCCCATCCCCCCGCACCCCGTACCCAGCTTTGTTGTCCATGTCCATCGGTTATGCGTATATGCATATAAGTTCTGTGGTTTATCTATCTCTTCCCTCCCCCCACCACCCTCTCTTCTGAAGATTGTCAGTCTATACCCTAAAAAAGAAAAACCA